GCCACTGGGCTTACAACTAAAGACACAGCCATGCAAAAACTGCGGCATGTGTACGGCTCCTTATGGGGTACTGCAATATTTGAAGTGCTGGAGCGGCGTTCCGGTGCTCTCCGTCAGCACTACATCACGTGATGACACGGTACGCTCGTGTTGTGTTCAAGGGACCTGTCCTGTCCTTGACATTTCTGAAGTGAAAAGTTGTCCGTCAGTCCGTCAATCCGTGAGTCGGACCCCCACATGCACCCTCATTTGAAAAATGAAAAGTGAAAAAAAAAGAAAAGTGAAAAATATTACATATAGGCCTATAATTACAAGAAGAAGAAGAAGAAGAAGAAGAAGAAGAAGAAGAAAAAGAAGAAGAACATAGTTGAAATAAAATAAATTGTGGTTAAATAACATTGACCTGCTGCATTTATTTGGTACATTTAAACGGAAAGTAAAGTTATTATGTCAGGTGCGCGTGACCTGTGCCGCTGCGCGTTCGTCATCTGCAAGGTGCTTACACAGCAGTCAATAGAGAGCCGCAGTGACGCGTCCTTAAACCCGGAAGTAAACTTCTTCCGGTTCCTTCGTCTAAAACGAAATGCAATTTCTCCATAGGATTTTGGAAAATGGCNTGCCCTCACGATTTGACAAGATGCCCTCACGAGTGCCATGACCAATTTGCCACCGCTCACGAAGTTGCTGCCGGAGCCTGAGAAACTCCTCCGGCGGTCATACGATGGCTTAAGATGCCCTCACGAATGGTCCGATGTTGTTAGGATCAGAGCCAAATTTCAACATTTCCTTTATCGTGTGTCCATCTGGTGGTTTTATTGCACAACAAAATCATGTAAACATATTATGTAAATAACCCAATTTGTGTTCTGTGAAACTGAAAAGGATATGACATTGTTTTTGTTACTTTCGTTGCAGTTGTATGTCTTAAATGTAACTTTTATTTAGATGCTTTTATTTTGAAGGCGAGTTGACAGGAAGTTGTTGTTGTACTTTAACATAATTGTTTTTGTTACTTTCGTTGCAGTTGTATGTCTTAAATGTAATGTAAATGTTGCCTTTGTGTGTGGTTCAGGACCATCTGCGTGCAAATTTCACAATTCCATATTTGTGTGTCCATCTGGTGTCAATTTCGGGACAGTGTGACAGGGGCTTAAGGAATCATAGGAACCAGATTTGTGTGTCTTTTTTTTGTAGAGCACAGGAAAACCTTTATGTTCTATGTGTGTGGATTTTGGTATTTATTAAAAGAGACGATCTTTCAGGGGGGAGAAAAATCTTTAAGAACATACTCAGACACAAACACACACATGCACACTAAGTGGTGACTCATATTATTGTTCGCTTCACAGCTGAGTTTAACTGAGACCTCCGGTGAGCCTGGGAATTAATGCCAGCTTGCACAAAGGATTAGGATGTGGAAACACATTTAGTGATTGATGCATCACTGAGAATGTTACCACTGAAAATCAGAGGCATTGTTGCATTTCTGATATTTTCTGCAAGCCTTCCTTATTCAAGTTGAACTATTATTGTATAACATACAATGTATACATTTTATATTACGTTAAAGGAGAAGAATCACACTTTAAGATCCTCAGATGATGGCGTTGTTTATCCAGTTGGATGTTGTCTTTCAGTCTTGAAATCATGAATGTTTTTCGCATTAAGATGCTCTTGTTGTTCATTTTTGCTCTCACATTGCTGTTTCCTTAGTGCCTGAATCCATTACCGAGAACATTACAGCATCAGCAAAAGATTTATTTTCCCCTTTTTTCTTTAGGCAATGACAGCTAGCAAAGTCTACAGAGAATTTAAGATGCTCTTGATTATTCAGCGCTCTTCTCTCCAGTACTGTGTTGCAGTTGCAGCATCAGGGCTCTTTAATCCAGCTTGTCTGCATAGGGGTGGCCAGCCAGCGGGTAATGGTTATCTAAGGGTCCCACTTCTTAAACTTTGAGGTCAACAGCAACTAATACACTCAAGAAATACTGTTTATGGCCTCTGTTTCTGACAAATTCAGTCCACTACGTCAAATCGTATATATTGGGCTGCATTTTAAGTGAGTCACCCCCGCATGTAGTTGAAAACTGAGACAGTTAGGCAATCAAAACAAGTCTGTTAAGTTTTCCCATTGTCGGGGGACTTGTCTGCTCCAAGTAAGCCCCTGCAAACATTTACAACGTTTTATTGGAGGTATTAATTATCCAACTCTACAACAACCTTGATTTGTTGTTCAAGCTAAATATCTTTATTCATCAGAAAACTAAAAACATAATTTTGTTTTTTCACCATTACCAAACAACTTAATGATGATTATGTCCTATTTGCCGAATGAGGAGCAATTATCATGAGGGCCAACAGAATCAAAGTATGTTGCTTAACAGTGTTTTATATAAACTTCCAACCCTGTGGTATTTATAGACAACACATGTATGATGTATGCTAATAGGGTGACCCAAATACAAACAAGACTCAAATGTATCCTCACACTTTTTGGCATCTTCCGTAAAGTCAATATATGTGTCTTGAGCGTAGATTTACTCTTAGCTTTCGATTGTTTTGGACACATTCATACTTTCAAGCCAAACAGGACAATATTACACCCAGATAGACGGAAAGAGGTTGCTCAGAAAAAGCGAGTCGTGGGACAGGATGTGGACTCGAGAAGTTCCTGTGTAATCGCTGCAAAGATCTCACACGCCGTTCCAACTCTGTAAATGCTTTTGTGAGCCTCTGTGTGCTGCTCCTCACAGCTGAGAATGCAAGCGGCTCTCAAATGGAGTTTGAGAATCTTATTGAGTCTGACAAGTTTTTACTATCGCAAGTATCAAACATAGAATCTATGCGGTAATTATGCACTTAAGGTTTAGACACATGATCTTACTTGAGTTCGTACACGCATAGGTTCACATACGACTGCAGACAGATGCACACTTGGCAGACGCTGGGCTTGATTTCTTATATGAGAACAGTGAGATGAACTGTGAGGATGAGGACGGATCTCTATAGAGGAATGCCTTCATGAAGCTTCAACAGCTGGCTGTACATTTTAGATTTTTACTGATGTCAATGAGCTGACTGATCAAGCTTTGTTTCCAAGGATGTAGTCTCAGTGGGATGATCCATACTTCAAGTATGTCCATACGTTTTTAAGAAATAGTTGGACATTTTAGGAAATAAGCTCATTTACTGGTACCAGGAGATGGTTAGCCTAGCGTGTGTTTATGCTCAACTAAGCTAGCTAGCTCCACATTTATTGCACAGACCTTGTAGTATTGAGCTTCTCCTCCAACTCTCTGCAAGAAAGTGATTAGCATGTTTCACAACATATTCAAACTATTCCTTTCACAGTCTGATTATAGTTTCCACCAACCCTTCGGGATAATGATGTTATTGATCAGGAATGTTTTATGTGTCACCAAACACAGTGATTCATTTGAGTCTTCTGTTGTGTTAAGAGTCTAGCTCCCCCACCCTCAATCCATACTGTGCCTGAAGCGTCCTGGTTGTCTGATCCGGTGAGTCAGGCGGACTTCTTACACTAATGACTTCCATCTGGGCGGCCGGGCCCGGCACATTATGGTGATGAGACGGCATTTTGTGGTGAAACTGGCAAAGTCTCTTTAGATGACGAGGCTAATCGGCCGGTTGAGGGTGGGTTAACTGAACCTTTGGGGCCCGCCACTAGCTCAGAACTTCAAAGTAAAGGTTGGACCTTTGGTTGAGATGCAGTGTGGGACTCTGGGGTTGGAAGGGGTTATGGGGCAACAAACATCATCTGTAATTGAGGTTTGTGAGGTTTGGGTTTTCCTGCAGGCTTGCATATTCTCCCTTAAATGTTAATGTCTGTTAAGCATGTCCCAGTACCAAGTGCAGCTGGAGACCTCACATAACATCTTAGAAGAAAAACACAAAGACAACATACACATGATCCCTGCCAGACAGGAGTCACTGAATGTGCCTGTGTTCAGTCAAAGGCCATGATATAAATGATAAATGAGACCCTGCTGTCAGTTCGTGTAGGAATGCCTTTAATTTCAAACCACTCTGAGAAACTTCTTTTGTTGGAAAGCTTGGCCACACTGGGGGGTAGTAGTGTGGTGTGTGACCTCTGTCTGACTACAATGAACATGCACAAGCCCAAAGCTGAGTGTTTCTCTCCATTTGTCTTTTTAATGCGTATGTGTTGACAGGAGGATTGCATGTTAATTTGTATGTCTGTTGTCACATTAGAGTTATACAATCCAAACATATAAAAAGGTGCCCTCTGCTAATGCCTTGTACGAGGTCAAAGAAACACCCACGTAAACATACACTTCCCAATGTGTGTTGTGGTTACAGTCTATCTATAGAAAGAGCCTCAACAAACTATAGGAATACCCAACTCTCCAGCTGCTCTGTAATGAATGCGTCAGAACCACAGAGCCTGGCTCACTTTCAACACTGTGGGAGATTAGGATCCCCCTGCGATGTCTCTTTCTCCATTCTCTGCCAATTTATTTTGTTTCTTCGTCTGAAATAATTGTTAAATTAAATGATCCCAGATAAAATGAATCCTAATTAGTATATCATGTTATGGAGGGCAGGAAGGCAAAACTTGTAAAAAAAAAGGTAATTGAGTTGAATGGACCATAAAGTTCCTCTCAAAGTCGATACATAGAAGGAGGGCGGGACGAGACACAGTGAGAACAGCAGGGCTGAAATGTTTATTCACATCATTCAGATACCCCCGCATTGTGTTTATGGGACACAGTGCTTGTACACACTGATGGCTGTAATCAGTAAAAGAAAATAAACATATCAGACAGGACCTAAATGAGACTCTCTGCTGTTTGGTTTTATTTGTTTCTCGTTTCCAACCGTGTTTGCTATAGATCATTGCAAAGCCAGCCTGATTGTTGCTTTTCAAACTGAATCAAGCTAATGAGGGGGGTTTCAATGGGCTGTGTTACACTTTGGCTGATGATAATTGTGAGAATCGACTGAAATCATAATGGTTGACTATTATTTTTCTCTCTCTCCATTGTTCATCTTAGGTGCTACGTGGGGCTCAGCTCATAGCGGTGGCATCAGCTGATGGGGGGGCCACAGCAGTAGAGGGCTCCCCCCTCCCCAATGACATCCAAGTGCAGTACGTCCAACTCGCGCCCGTCTCAGATCACACAGCTGCCGTACAGGTAAAACAACAGCCAAAGAAACACAAATTATTCCAGGCTTGTACACGTGTACACACACACACACAGGTTGTTTGTTAATGGGTAGTATTCCAACACCTGGAGAATGGTTCTATCATCTGAAGTGAAGCAGACCCCGCTGCTAATCTAAATCAGTCCCACTACACATGTTTGTTTTTGAAGAAATCCATGACAAATAGCTGTTCTCCAAGTCTTTTCCTCAAACTGAAATAGGTCTGTTATCAGTCCTTCAGTGATGCCATCAATCTGTGAAGCATGCTGAGTGCTCGCCAGGAAATACAATTCCCAGGAAAAAGTGATTAGGAGTATGTGTTTGTATGTTAGCTTGGATTCAAAGTTTATTTCTTAAAGTAAATCAGACTAATAAATATCAGTCTTCTGGATAACTTCATGATACCACAGTGTTAAGTTATAAAACATTAGTTATATTTCAAATAAGTAACAGACTATTCACTTTTTTATCTGGAAAATTGAAATGAATACACAGTACTACCAATCTCATCAGCTGTCTGTGATAAAAGAAAAAGTAACAAAATTGTATTTGCAACTTATTCCAAACATTGTTATTGCAACACGTTATTAACACACACAACCTCCGGTCATCATCAGTTGATTCAAATCCAAAATCTATCTTACAAAGCCTCTAACATCTGCCTGCCACAAGAAACCGAATTATTGGTGAACCTTAGTGAATATACTTTCTTACTTAGCACATCTTTTTTCAAATATAATCATATTTTTGAGGAATCAAACATGTTTTCTTTACTTTTTTTCCTTCTCCCTCTTTGGAGAAATGACGCCCTGTCTAGCAGCCAGAGTTACTGATTGTCAGGGCTCACACCTGCCTCCTTTGTTCTATAAGGATCTGATCAGCCTCGTAATGAGCAGAATATATCCTGCAATATTTCCCTCATAATTACAGTAATGTTGAAATGAGTTTAATTTCTGCAATTTAGATGAAATATTTGCCGGTATAATGGGTCAGCTTTTCCACTGCTGTCATAATTATGTTCAAATAAAATGCACTCAGCTTTCAGTCATTATGACGGCTGTTTGTACAAACAGTATTTTAACATGAAAGAGTGCAGTGAATGGAGTGTAACAAGGAGACGGGTAGTAATTAGTAGATATGCCTGAAATCCCTCGATGAGTGAGTTTTTTGAGCAACGGCTACATGTGGAATCAGGATGTTGCACACGGCAGCGTGGCCTTTGAAGTGGCCAGTTTAACTTCGGGGTGGATATAAAAGCACCACACGTTTCTATTGTTCTTTCTGCTTTCTGTTTACCCTAAATATCAAATGTTCTCCTCATTGCTTCTTTCCCTCAAGTCCCATGCTGAATTGGGTTCCCTCTAGCCTTGATGTGAGTCTTTGTTCTGTTGTCATATTGTAAACAGAGAGAACAGCAAATGATTAATGGCTGTGTGAAATACGGGTCCTGTCATGATAGGGATCTCTCTGCAGAAAAGCCACGCACCAGGTTTCCTGGTACCAAACTTTAATCTTAGAAAAACGCTGTATTGCTGTCTTTTTGTTGTTGGTAGTCGTCTAGGTCATTAGTTCCTCGGCCCTGTGAGTGTCGAGGAGATGAAGGCATCTTCGACTGATTTATTGTTTTAGGTGTGGGTCGTTCACAAACTGATAAACTCCAGAAAGCATACAAAACGATTGCCCCCCTCAACCACTCTATTCCAGGGTCTGCGCCCCATGTTGCGGGCCCAGGGAGCAATCAAACTGTTTGTTTACTCAACTGATTCGTTTGGATGGGTTTTTAGATCAAAAAAGAGCTAATGTTTTCCTAATGTCTGATTGTACACAAATCTTGACAGAAATCAACAAAGTAGGCAGAGGTCTGATCAGCCATCAGCGTTCTGTTCGCTGGAGTTTGGGTTCATTAAGTGTGAAGGGACATGCCCAAGGACAGAAAAAACAAGCCTGTTAACAATGTGTTGACTTTTGATCAAACAATATTTAAACTCGTCAATAGCAGATTTTCATTAGGCATCACTGTCAAAAATAATGTACAAGGGTCAAAAAAGGTTGGTGCTAAGATGCTCAACATGTTCAAGTTGATCTTATTAAGTGTGCTTTAAAGGACTTCACATAGTAAGTCTATCCAACTCATTATCAAAAAAGTGAATGCATATGATAAATGAGTAAACAAGTTTATATAGAATAGCATTTCCTAATCAAACCTACTGCAGCTGTATTGTAAAGACACAATGCACAGATTTGATTTGGGCATATATACTGGGCCTACTTCAGGGTGTGTTATTATCAAAGTTGGCTTGTGATGTCCTAAAGTGTAAACATGGCTGGCTTTCAGTTCAAAGTTCATAGGAAGGTTAGCGCTGTTCTTTTTCCACTTTTTTGCAAAGTGTTGAATCGAGAGAATTGCTCTCATCTGTTTCCAGACATATGGCAGCACTTATAAAAGTTTTTGAAAAGTTACTTAGGCTTTTGTATTTATTTATCTCAGCATTTTCCCTCCCTCTTTATTACATAGTTTCCATTACCAAACTAGATGAAGTTGGGGGCAACACATTTTAGTAATCTATGGGGCAGTTGTGTGAGTTGGGAGTTTTGATGCAACATGGTTTATCTCCATGTCTAATGGTGGGAATAAAGAACAACAAGAACCTGATTCACCCACACATTTCAAAAGATTCCGACACATGTTCTGTTGAAAAAGACTGAAAGCAATGGATCTATTATCCTTGAGTATTAACAAATGGAGAACAAGGCCCGCACTGTGACAGTCCACCATGTCCAAAGTTTCATATGCTTAGTGAGAAACATGGATCCATGTGAGTTTTACTTGGCCTGTTGACCGCAAGTGGTTACCGTGTGTCAGCCTCATGTGTTGTTGTATTGTATGCACTGCTGTGCTGCAGCTGTGCTTCATTCAATGCTGTTGTCTAGTGACAGCATGCCGGGCTGAAGGGAGGATTACATGCTGCAGGTGTTTTTAGGGAACCTTTGGCGTGCATTTGAGGAAGGAGTGAGTCACTCTTCATGAATATCATCCAGGACTGAGTCATGAATCTCTCATCTTTTGAGTATTTTTTTTTAAACCTACACAATAGCTTGCTCTGTCTGACACCGAGCACAGAGTCAGTCAGAGAACATTATAATACAAATAGCTCATCACTTCACGTCCCCCCACCTGTCACAGCCTCTTTTCTTGGCCTTTGCACCAACTGTCTTCTCTCTGATATATCTCCTCTCTAATCTCTCCTGTCATTCCTTTACGTCTTCAGTCCATTATCTGTCTCCCACAATGCTGCAGGGGCTAGGCCTGGGCGGTTTAGAAAGAAAATATTCCAGTATCACAAAGTTTTTCACACAATACCTCCATAACAATAGTGTGACGATGTTGTGGGGTGGACCATTGAGGCTTTCAAAAAACTTGATAAGAATTTTTGATAAATAATCTCTATTAATTTGGATGTAATGACTAAGCAGGTAAAGGAAGTAATGAAACCGCTATAACAGTCTGATACATTCCGAAAAATACATAATTTTACTGTAATGCAGCCTTTAAAAAGAGGAAAACAAAATACTTGTATAACGATAAAAATTAACACAATATCCAAGCTTTCTCATGATTACACTGATCAGGTCAAAAAGCATGCTACAGTCTTCTAAATGATATCCTCTCTGTCATGTGTCACAGGCTGCTGAGCTAAGCCCGGCCATGCAGGCGGAGTTGGAGGTGAAAGAGGCCATCCAGGGGGCCATCCAGGGAGAAAACGGCGAAGTGGTCCAGATCGTCACCTCCGTGGCCACCTGAGAGCCCGTCTGGTTCCTCACATCTCAGATCTCTGCTCCTCAGCATGGCCTGACAAGTCTCAGCGGCCCAAACGTGCACACGGTCTGACAGACACTCAAGCCAGAAAGCTATTATATAGACACTGAGGGACACGGATGAAATAGAAAATAATCATTTTTCAGTTTTGTGTTTCGCCCTTCAAACTCTTCTGTTCATTGCAAAACAGATGTCGCAATGTGGAAATGTTTGCGGACTACTTGAAAAGACTATGATACTCAAAAATTCAACAGTGGTCTGAATGTGTTTTCATCACCAGAAAAACCTGGCCCACAACTGAATACACAGTGGTATTATTGTCTGTCCAGGGAGGATGCTACTTATGCAGAACATCACCCCGCCACTTCATCAGCACACACACTTACATCAACTTTGGAAAATATTGGAGTTATTTGGAGTTAAGCTGCTTGGCTACATCTGAGACACTCGTGAGGTTTTTGTAAAACCTCTGAATCCCAAGTCAAACAACCAGTACTGTGCTCCTTTTCTCGTCATTTCTTGCCACAGTGGACTGCAATGGAAAGTAGATTTAACCGAGCTCAACTTCTCTTGGTTATGATTCATTTGGTTTCCTGTCACTCCATGATTCAATCCATACTTTTATCTGCCGGCTGAGAGCCCTGCCTTCCCTTACTTTGCTCTTCTTGTTTTCATAAAGCTTAAGCCGCACAGTTCTGTTTGTTTGTTTCATTTGCATAATTGTAACATGCTAAAGGTTTTTTGGGAGCTTTAATTTTGGAGGAAGGAGACTATGAAATAGAAGAGATGGTGCCAGTAGACAGTACAAGATGCTTGTAGAAAACCAAGGAAACCTTGAACTTGTTTATTTCCCCTGTTTTGCCTCTGCGAAAGATACATTCATGTGAATAAAACGTGCTTGTGGTTGCCATAAAAGTGTGTTTTTATTTTGTCTTGTCTCTGTATTTCTCTTTATTTACATCAACTAGGGTCATCAAAATGCCTTCAAGGATTTTCGAGACATGGCTTTGCTTTCATCCACTCCAAATAGACAATTGAAGAGAGTGGGAAATGTTGTTCGGTTTTGAGGTCTGGTTTCATGTTTCCATTGACTTACTTCTATGTTTAAAGTATATATATGTCAACTTCAATAAACATTAACTTCTGTACTGTAAGCCACCCTGTCAACATAGAAAACAGGCTTTTGTCAAAACACTAATAATTGTGTTTGTCTCATTTAAGCAGTTTCAGACCTGTAATTACATTTCTTGGTAATCCACTCCAAACCCAGAGCCGGATTTTGTTTTTCTGTCAGTAAAGACAGAATGTGTTGTGTTGGATTGATGCGCCACTAATGATGAATATTTCCGCAGTCAGCATTAAAAGAGATAAGTGAGACGAGTTTCCCCTGCTCGGTGTGATGTAATAGTGTATTTTGGATTGGCGAAAAGAACCAGGCGACAAAATGTACTTGATAAAACAACATTCACAGTCTTGGCTGCTTCCTCTTGTTTCCCTTCAGTCTGTAGCTGTCTCCGATCCCCTTTACACTGCCTCTTCATCTTCCCCTTACGTATTCCTCTTCTCCCACTTGTGTTTTCTTCTTTCTCTTTTGTGTTAAAAAGCACATTCACTCCCCTCTAAAATTAAACACTATACTGGGCTGAAGTTTAGTGGGACCCTTTTAAAAATAAGTGAGTTATAATGTTGGCTTGGACAACTGTCTCTCCCCCAGTGACCCCTCCATTAAATTGTTGACTTGGACAGGAACGGACCCTGCTCGTACCGGCCTTTTACTTTTACAACCCTGGGCTTCATCCAGGAGCTGGAGTGGTTACCATAGCGACGGGCCCTCTCTCTGGCTGCCTCTGAGATAACCTGCTGAAAACAGAAATGAATGATAGATGTAGAGATGACATTGTTTGGAAGCAGACTGCATGTTTTTGGAGAAGGAGAGGAGTGACGGACAGAGAGCAGGCGGTGTATCTTTCCCTTCTTTCTCTCAGCAGCTCTGTGTTCTCCTGCAGTAATGGCGGCTCTGCTGGCATCTGCCTCAACATGCAAGCACTAACCTCTGCAACTCCCCGGGCTTAGGATGCAAAGTTCCCCCTGCTCAAACTTTTTCCAAGGCTGGAGGAGTTATCTCAGGATGTGAAAAGATGACTGAACATATTTGTTGGAGCAGAAATGTCCAAACAGAATGCGTCTCCAGGATCATAAATCAGCATCTGCTAATCTTGGGGAAACAAAGCTCCCCACAGACAAAATGCCTCGTGCCAGAGGACAGATTACACCAAAACAGTGCTGTCACAGTCTACAGCATGTACATTTGTTTTCGCACAAGCTGAATATTCAAAAAGGTCACAAGCACAACTCTGCTGTTTGATTTTGTTCCCTGTTGCAGGTGAGCACAACAGTATTTAGTTGTATAGACATTTAATAATGGGAATTCTGCATATATCTGGCTCTAATGTCAAATTAGACAGCAGCAAGTCAATGGGAAGCTTAGCAACTTAGCTGCTGTTTCATGCATCATAAAATAGAAAGGGCTGCTGGGGTCAGTTTTTAGGGATATCGAACATCCAAAAATTGTAGCTATGGTCAATCATTTAACTGTCCTATTGGTTCAATAAAAGATGATGACGACCAGAGATGGCAAAAGTACACACATCCTTTACTCAAGCAGCAGTACAGATACTCGTGTTTAAAAATACTCTGGTAGAAGTACTGACAAAAGTTCTTTACTCAAGTAAAAGTAAAGAAGTAGGCTATTGGCTTCGAAATGCACTTAAGTAAAAAAGTACCCATAACTACCAACTGTTTTATAGACTAACTGTCCTCCCTTTATATTAATAGAACAATAATGTTATTGTTAGCTAATGAATGTTTCGATGCTGAACAACGGCAAAATGACAGTTTTCATTGGTCCCTCGTCTTTAGAGAAGACCAGGAAATGATGGATACACGGATCGTGTTCAAATCAATAGGCACGCAATGACTCTAAATAATAATGATCAGGCCACCAAACACAGATTAAAACTAAAGTAGCCTAACGAGCCTGTTTTGAAAATGTAAGAAGTAAAAGTACAGGTATTTGTGTTAAAAATGTAAGAAGTAAAAGTAAAAAGTCGTCAGAAAAATAAGTAGCCTAGTGGAGTTAAGTACTGATACCAGAAAAATGTACTTGAGTACAGTAACAAAGTATTTGTACTCCATTACTTCCCACGGTCCCACCTCTGATGACGACTACAAAGGCCTTGCTTGAAAATCCATTGTTGTTTTCCTTTGCATGTCTTGATAAGTTACTTTTTAAAGCATTAAATATCTGAATCTCAGCAGTGCACTGCAAATAATACAATAGATGCTAAAGCAGGGAAATCCAGGAGGTCCTCGAAGAAAACTGAATCTGAAAACTGCAGACATCATCCCATATTTCAATATTCACAGATATTTCCATCCTACAGTAAATCCGAAGTTATTGTTCCAGGAATACTTTGCAGTTTTATTTTTATTTTACTAGAAGATGTACTTCTTTCAAAATCTATAAATCTGACAACCAACTCTTTTTATGGAGCTCCCCTCACAACTGATTACATAAAGGATGAAACGTTTTAGTTATTTGGTTACTGAAACTAGTTACATAAGTTGTAAAAGATAAATAGATGTAATTTGAATGAATATACAAATTAAAAAACGTAAACACTAAATATATACACAACAGTAGAATAATGTGTTTCTAATGTATAAATACACATTATAGAAATATAATGAAAATCATACTTCAACAACTTAACTTTAAACAGAGGATATTATTAAAATATGCATCCTACATCTGCTGAAATGACTAAAACACAAATGTGTAATGAGAGCAGAGTATTTATTTATCTTCATTATCTCTTTTGTCAATGTATTCACCTTGACGTTAACTACTTTATCCTCCATCAACTAACACCAGGCTTTTGTGCAGGCATATTATGTCGTCGTTGGTCACCTGGAAACCGCAGTCTGAGGAATATCTATTTCCAGTAAATTAGTGCCTTTTACTAAAGCTTCAAACACACGAAGCAGGGAATTCCAAAATAGAGAGAGGAGAGGACTGAGAGTTGCTGCGTGGTTGTGGAGGGGAGGTTCTCCTCGAGTTGAGGGACCAGATGTGAGAGGAGGGGTACAAACTCATCCAGACAACGGTTACAAAATGCTTCCTGGTCAACGGGTTTGCTAAAAACAACCTCTCTAAGTTGAATGCTTCACATTTTATCGTCGAAGGTAAGTTAACATTGCATTGGCTTACTGTGTTGTTAATTGAAATGCGCATTACGTCGATGAACTGAAGGTGAACTTAAGACGTGATGACGTGAAGGGGGGTAACTACTTTTGACGGGCTCGCTAGGTGCTTCCTGATTTCCGCTGCTCACTTAACGAAGTTTACTTGAATTTCACCGTCGGAATTAAAGTTAAATCCAAACCAACTCAGTCAAAATGTTGTGGTATGCTGTTCAAATTATTCGTGTTCACAATGTGCCACAGCTGTCAGGTTACCAAACGTCTTATTAATGCGAAGAAAGAAGCAGGTGCGTCATGCAGAGGACCCTACATGTAATAATACAATAAAGAAGCGTGTGACGATTTCAAATAAAGTAATGTACCCTACTGAAATACACTTTATCATGTAGACATTGAGTTAAATGCTGAAGTTTCATCGTGAAAGTCTGTAACCCATGCAACGTCATTGGAGGTGATCCTCCTATGGGAATCTGTCCATGTGCACAGCTCAGAGGACATGGTGAGATTTTATGTACAAATTATTTATTTGAAGCATCCAATCACACTTTTTCGTGTGTGTGTGTGTTGTGTTTTTAATATGTGGTTAATTAGGTTGCAAGATAATGTCTTGGGTAACTCTGAGACCATGTTTTTTTTTGTCGCCACAGTGCCATAAACATCAGATCTTACTTAAGATATTAAATGTTTAAACCAAAGGCATGTATTCAATGTGCACTGTGGTCTGTTTGAGTAAGTGACTGTATTAAGTTTTATTAGCATCGCGCCCATTATGAGATATGTCATAACAAGTAATTTAGAGCCTACTGTTGAGCTGCAGTATGCGTAATAAAATCAACACTGCTTCTGTCCAATATATTTAACAAGAGACTGTGGTACAGTACCATACTTGTTGTCTAGGTGAATGTAGTCTCAATTAATACTAAGCTACATTTGCAGAAAGTCAATACCTGGAGGCGCACAGTGCCCGCAACTTTTGCATCAGCTATGTTTCCTTATCGTTGAATGCTCTTTGGCGTATGGCAGATGGCAACTCTGTCATTGATAACGTCTTTGTCCATATGCATTGGTGTAAGAATAACTTTAGTTTGAAAGACATTATTGTTCTCACAGCACAGGTCAGAGATGGAAATGGCTGTGTCTTGCAGTGTATTTTTGTTCACACTTTAAGAGCTTTAACATACCAGAATGGTCCTTTTGTTTTCAAAGACATTAGGGATTGAAAGAGGTCATTCAGTTTGGACCGAGGCCGACTCTGATTCCATGGGAGACCGACTGCTTGTTTGTTAATGCAGGAAAGCTCTGACGTGATGAAAAGAAACTCCAATTTTCTTTTTATCAAGCCTGGAGTGTATCTGAGAAATGTTGTGTTTGATTTACATCCTCTTATCTTTTCTTATGGTTATAAATATGATTATGCCAGATGTGGTATGCGTTATAAGGCTTTGTCTGAAGCCATAAATCGTTGATAACTTAGAGCATGTTTTCCTCCAGCCCAACCGTACCGAGCGGGGTCAGGCAAGGAAAACAGAGCCTCAGAGGTCTCTGCATCTGTTGAACACCAGTGTCTGACTCTTCATCCCACCACCACTGGTTATATTCACACGTTAACTATCAGAGCGTCACTGTGTGTGTGCATGGCTGACTGGTTCACAATTATGTACAGTTTGT